TGATCACTCCAAAAAAGAAGTCAGAAAAGTGAGAGTGCTCATTGGTCATTGTTTAGATCTACACCGTAAATGACTACAATAGCAAAGCTTAGAAGAGTACAATATTATGTTAAAAGAAAAGACCAAATCTATGTGGGTAATTTCCAAGCTTTGTCCATTTAGAAAGAGCCCACTAATTCTTCACTAGTTCTTACTCATTTTTCACTTGGTTACCCAAATCAAGGTAAACTAGTCAGCCAAAAATATGCATACGAGTAACTCATTCTTCTTTTACCTTAGCCATCTTTTGGAATTTATTTTTGCTATAAATATTAACTTAAATCACTTATCTTTTATTTGAACCTTTAGTCTGAAAATGATATTTTTTCCATTTTTATTCCCTGTCCTAACCAATAGATGCCTCTGACTTGTAAATTAGGCTACATTCAAGAAAACAAGTACCCAGGGTTTTTTTCAGCTGAGCTTCTTAATTTAGGTAGTTGTAGAAGGATACTGACATGTGATTTCCCATCCAATTTTTTAATGAAACATTTCAACTGAATTTAAATGATTTTTCCAAATTGGTTTTTAGGAAATGCTTAACTCAGGCCATTCGACGTTTAGTAAATTTCCTGAACTCATCTTACACTTACAATAGCAACTCAGTGTTATTCTCTGAGAACAGGAAATCAGGGAGCAGAATTATGGTTGATGGAGATGTCTCTGAAGGAGAAAGTCAGTGAAGACAGAGATGACCTAGCAATGACCAGTTTAGATAGAATTTTAGATAAGGATCAATCTGTATGGAGTGATTGTGGCATTCTGTTAGATCTGACTACTTAAATATATTTTCCTTACTGACACTTCTGTATTTCCTAGCTGGAAATTCATAATGTTAGAATAAGTGTTCTGAGTTAGACAATATTGGAGAGGTATTTTGGGTTATGCAGCAAAATGCATATAAAATTAGGACATTGGCTTTTCAACCTATTGACCAAAGCTTTTCATTTTCTCTGTGGACATACTGAATGAGCACACTGAGCACTTGAGATGTCTTGTGGCTCTCTCGTGGCCCCATGCATTTCTGCTCTCACAAGTAAAGTTGTATGTTTACCAAGAGGCCATTGTTCCCGTGTTTGTCATTGCCATTATATAATTAATTTATATATAAATACTACATAATGTTATCCCATATCAGAGAGAAAAGAATTATTCCTATGAAAACTAGGTTGAATGCTTTGGAAAGACTCACTAAGATGAGTTACCCCAAAATGCTGTTGGATTAGGTGCGAACAAGGCAACCATAAAGATTGGGTGGAAGGATATTACAAAAGCATAGTTTTTCCTTAAGTTTACTTTATAAGCATTTTTAAGTTCTCACTCACTGAAAAAGTAAAAACTAGAAATAGTGTACAATGCAATACTGATTCATTTACATGAGAAAGTCAACATGGAACTCTAATCAAAAGACCATACTCCAAGAAACAGTCTGGGGTTAAAATCAAAAGGTTGGTGAAAGACCCATTTACATGTTTTAAATTCAAATAAAATGTTTAAGGCATGTAAAGACAATTTTCTATAGCTTTTCACTTTCACCAATATTTTTGAGGAACGAATTACCATAGGGTAGGAGGACTTCAACTGTTCTCGTGATTTTCCCAAGGCATCTTCTGCTATTTCCTCTGTCTAGAGTACCCTCCTTCACTCCCTACATCTATTTCCCTACAGTTCTCTCTTTCTCTCTATTTCCTAACTCTTATTCATCCTTTACGTCCTAAGACTCCAGCTTAAATGCTAACTCCTGTGAGGAGCCTTTCCTGTCCCTTTTCTTTTCTTATTTAAAATTGTATTTTATTGGGGCTGGCCCCGTGGCCGAGTGGTTAAGTTCGCGCGCTCCACTGCAGGCGGCCCAGTGTTTCGTTAGTTCGAATCCTGGGCGCGGACATGGCGCTGCTCGTCTGACCACGCTGAGGCAGCGTCCCACATGCCACAACTAGAAGGACCCACAACGAAGAGTATGCAACTATGTACCGGGGGGCTTTGGGGAGAAAAAGGAAAAATAAAATCTTTAAAATTGTATTTTATTTTACTCTAGAAATACTGCTGTTTGTTTTAATGGTTCACATAGATCTATTCCGTCCAAAAAGGAAACATAAAGTTCTTCTAGGAGTGCAAGCACAGTTAGCAAGGCCTATCCAAAGGTCTTCCACTAGAGTCTGCAGAAATCCAAATGCAGTAAAATCACAAACTTGAATGTTTTTATTCTTTGGACCACAAGAAATTTCAAAATCAGTGTGATGTTGAAAACCCATCAAAAGTTTTTGTGTAGATTGTTCTGTCCTGTGTGCCATTTCTGTGCCAAGTACATCGCTTTACAACTGTGTTTAAGGCATAGTTTCTATTGTATTCTAATAGTGTATTTAACATACTTCATTATCTTTGGGTTCCTTTGGAGTCAGTCTCCAATGATTCTCCCTTTCTCCTGAGAATGGGTCACATTTTCCTGTTTCTTTGTATGTCGAGTGATTTTTTTGGATCATATCCCAGACATTGTGAATGTTATGTTGTGATGACTCTGGATTATGTTATATTCCTCTAAACAGTGTTTACTTTATTTGTTTTAGCAGATAATTTACTTAGCTGGATTCAAAATGCAAACTCTGTCTTTTGGGTAGCAACTCAAATCTTGGTTCAGTTCGTTCACCCTCAGCTGGTCTGCCTGCAATCTACCTGACACACACTTTATTCAAGGGGCAGACAGAGACCCAGACAGAGTGTATACACAGAATTTGGGTTCTCTCTCTCTCTCTGATGCTTTCCTCTCTGTGATCCCCCTCTCAGTTACCAGTGAACTTTTTAGAGGATTTTAACCACGCCGCCCTTCATGGCACCCCAAGTCTAAAAGCCATCAAAGTAGGAAATTCATCCAGTGCTGTTTCTTTCTTCCAAGTGCCAATTCCTTTCCAGAATCTTCCTGCTCTTGTTCACACTCCAGTTCCTTCAAGTAGTTGGGGTTTTTTTGTATTTTATCCAGAGCTTATAGTTATCTGGGAGAGAATTGGTCTGTAGGAGCTTATACATCCCACCAGGAGCAGAAAGCGCCTCATTATCTTTGTACTGCTGTGTCTAAACAACGTCTGACACATTGTGTAGGCCCTCAGGAAACATTTTGTGTTGGACAGAATTAAATAGAAGGACATCACTGAAATGAACAAGTATGTTAAAGGGAAAGGAGGAAGAAAACTTGTTCTCATTAGTTCGTGTTGATTTTTTGGTAATAACTAGACTTTGGAAGGCACAAAGCTCTTAATCAAGGGGCCTTGAAGAATAGAAACAGTAAGTTCCTATGATGGCCGGAGTTAGCATGAGGCAGGAAACCCCTAAAGGTAGGCTCAGTGCAGTGGCATCCATGGTGTCGAGCAGCATCTGGGAGAGTTTTAACTTGTCCAACCCTGGACATGATTCCACCAACAAAGTGAGTTTCTCTGGACCTTGGCATTATTAAGTCTCAGAGTGAATATCTGCCCATGAGAAATCCCCTTGAAAAATCTATTAAAGTCAGTTTAAAAAATAACAGAGTCACAATTGGCTAAAAGATGATAAACAGAGCAGCACAACAAATAGCAATTACCCACCAAGGAGGTGTCTGCAGGGGTGCTGGAGGCTGGGACTGGGCCTTTGCTCATTTACTATCTTTATTAATGACTTGGAAGTGGTGAAAACAGCTTGCTAATGAAGTGGCAGCCGGGCCTGCAGTGGGAGCCACTGCGGCTGGAAGGAGGAGAATGCAAACTAAGCTAATATAACGAGGTTAGGACACCAGGCAGAAAAATCAAAGGAATGAGATTCAGCAGGGAAGGAATATTGTAACTGTCAGGAGAAGAATAATCAGAAGTGTGGCTTTCTGACTGCAGGGAGTAGAGAAAACATGAAAGAACAAAAACCTGGGAAGAAGCTGAAAACGTAAGGCTGAGAAAGGCAATTGACACGGCAGTGAGATGATACTCCAGGACTTCCCACCTTCTGGCTTTGCAGACTATAACGTCACTGAGATGCGAAAGGACCAGAGAGGTCCCCAAGACCCCAGGGAGGAGAGAAGGCTCTGCTCCCTATATTATGCCTTCATGCTTTCCACCACTCCTCGGCACTGGTGGTTTCCCAACTTGAGACTGGCCCAGGCCTAGCTTGGCAGCTCCCTTATGGTCCTGGTCCCTAGGGAGAGATGTCACAGGCAGGTGGCTATAGGACCCAGACAGCAGGACATTAGGATCCCTGACTATCCCATGCAAAGAATCTCTTTCCACGCAGAGTCATTTCTCCATTTGATCCATTTCACAGCTCTCAGGGCTGTCAAGGATGATCTTGTTGCTTACTCATTTATTTATGGTCTGTCTAAGAATGAGAGGCCCCATGAGGACAGAGACCTCATCTGTCGTGTTCACCTCTGCACTGTCTATGTTGCAGACAGAGTCTGGCTCATAGTAATCAGGAAATTAAGATTTGCTGAATGAACGATTGAAGAAATGAATCCTGTCCTGCATGCTCATTTTACAAAGGAGGAAACAGAGTCGCAAGGTGACATGGGGACTTGACTGTAGTCACACAAGGTGGAGGTTGAACCTGGACTAGAACTCAGTTCTTCTGTCTCCCAGCACCATCTCATTCCTCATCTCCTTCTGGTCTCTAATCTAAAGTCACCTTCTCAGGATAATCTGTGTATGACTCCACTCATATGAGGAATTTAAAACTATGGACCAAGAACAGTTTAGTGGATACCAGGGAAAAGGTGGGGTGGGGGGTGGGCACAAAGGGTGAAGTGGTGCACCTACAACATGACTGACAAACATTAATGCACAATTGAAATTTCACAAGATTGTAACCTATCAATAACTCAATAAAAAAAATTGAAAAAAAAATAAATAAATAAAAATAAAGTCACCTTCTCAGGTGGCCTGCCCTGGCCACACCCTCCCCCTAGCCAACATGTCACCTTCCCTTCCCGAGTCTACCTGAGCACTTACCGTGACTGATACCCTCTCTGTATTTATATCTTGGTCATTGTTTGTCCCTCCCTATAGAATGCAGGCTGCATGAGGGCAGGCATTTCGTCTTCTGTGTTCACTGCTGTCTCCCCAGCAACAACAATGACAATGACATAGCTAATATTTACCTAGCACTCACTGTGTCAGCCAGTTTACATAGATTATTTCATTTAAAATCCCTAAGAACCCCATGAAGTAGCTATTGTCCCATTTTATTGATGGGAAAACTGAACTTAGAAACATTAAGCAACCTGACCCAACTAGTGAGTGACTGAGATGGGAGGGGAAGCCAGTGCCTTAACCATTGGGCATATACTGCCTCCCACAGTGGGCCCTTGTGTGGCAGGGCCTCCGTTGCCGGGAGGAGGGGGTGGGGGGTGCCTACCACCCTTGTTGTGCCCCCACAGGCTGCTGCTGTCTTCCTGTGACTCAGCTGCAATCACAGAGCAATCAAATGAAACTATAAGTCAGCACTCAGGGGGACAGCGCGCAGGCCCCTGAAGATCTTGACCTGCTGTTCCGGCTGGCATTTCCCCAGGTCACGTGACATCATGGGCCTCTAACCAGGAAGACAAGGAGGCAGCCTGTCCTTAACTGGGAATAAGGGCAGGAAGCCTCCCTTGGTCTCACTCCCCGGCTCCTGACCGACCCGCCTTTGCAAATGCTCCCAGAACTGGGTGGGAAGATCCCAGCGCGTCAGTGCTTTTCCTTCCGCCACGGTAAACAAGTTGCCTTTCGCCTTCAGAGTACGGTGTGCACCGCTCTGATGTCAAGGCCCGGGCACAGAGTTAAGTGGAGCCGGAAGGTGCGCTCACGGGTCCCTCGACATGCTCCCCACTGCTCATAATTTCTACCTTCTTTGCACTCATTCAAGGAGCTTCCTTGGGTTTCCTTGGCTTCTTAGATCCAGGCATCTTATTGTGGATCCTCACAGAGACAGATTAAGAGCAAAGGAGCACTCGTGTTTATTGAGCATCTACTCTGGGCCAGACACATGCTGAGGGGTCTGCAGAAATGGCATCGTTTAATCATTATGTAATCCCATTACATGGATGGGAGAACTGAGGCAGGCAAACTTGCCCAAAGGCCAAAGGTACTGACCACACAAGTTTAAAGTTTTATCCCTCCTAGCCCATCATCTGAGTTGCACTCATCCTGTGGAAAGTGTATCCTATTGTGTCCTCAAATAGGCTGAGGCCATAGTGCTGCTCATTCACTGCTCAGCAGCAGATATTTACCATGTGTCGGGTGTCATGCTAGGCGCTGGGGAGACAGCAGTGAAGACAACAGACAAAGTGCCTGCCCTGGAGCAACCCACAGTCTACAGGGAGGGACAACCAATGAGTAAGGTAAAGTATAGAGTCATGATAGGTGCTCACGGGTTGGGGGGAGTGTAGAATAAAGCTGGAGAGGGAAGGTGACATGTTGGCTGGGGGGAGGGTGTGGCCAGGGCTGGCCCCCTGAGAAGGTGACTTTAGATTAGAGACCAGAAGGAGGTGAGGAATGAGATGGTGCTGGAAGACAGAAGAACTGGGTTCTAGTCCAGGTTCAACCTCCACCTTGTGTGACTACAGTCGAGTCCCTGAGTCGCCTTGTGACTCTATTTCCTCCTCTGTATAATGAGCATGCAGGACAGGATTCATTTCTTCAACTGTTCATTCAGCAAATCTTAATTTCCTGATTACCATGAGCCAGGCAATGTCCGCAACATAGACATTGCAGAGGTGAACATGACAGATGAAGCCTCTGTCCTCATGGAACCCCATATTCTTGTGGGGAAGACAGACCATAAATAAACGAGTAAGCAAACAAGATCGTCCTTGACAGCCCTGAAAGCTGTGAGGTGGATCGAATACAGAAATGACTTTGCGTGGAAGGAGATTCTTTGCATGGGATAGTCAGGGATCCTAATGTCCTGCTGTCTGGGTCCTATAGCCACCTCCTGTGACATCTCTCCCTGGAGACCAGGACCATAAAGGAGCTGCCAAGCTAGGCCTGGGCCAGTGAATTGAATACATAAAATGACTATGGGTGGAAAGTAATTCTTCAAGCAGTGTAGTTAGCAATCCTAAAGTCATACATTCCGTGTTCTACTACCCACCTGCCTGTGACATCTCCTCCAGGCAGGTTCTGTCCTGTCAGACCATGTGGTCCCCACAGCAAGAGAAAACACTCAACAGTTAACAAGTCCCAACCACTCCGTGCAGGAGATGAGACACGGTCTGAGGCTGCCTTCCAAGAGGTCCTGGTTGAGAGTGAGAACTGCTGGACTCGGCCAGCGGACAGTCGGCAGGTGCACAGTGTGTTTGGGAGCTCCGAGAACACTCTCCTCCCAGGAAAGCAAGCTGCAGCGTGCAGGAGACACGTGGCTTATGCTTTCCACCTCTCCTACCTTTGCAAACAAGTTATTAGCAGTTTTACATTTTCCCTGAGGGGAAGCTGTGTTAATTCACCTTGGTGACTTTCTGGCACTAAGCCACCTGGTCCTGCTCACAGTTCCTTAGCAAGAAGGAAAGAAGGGAGGAAGGAAGAGAGGGAGGAAGAGGGGAAGGAAGGAAGGGAGGAAAAGGCTACCTCAAAGGCTTGCTACAAAACAGACTGAAACTCACCTTAATGACCAGTGACGATGACTGAGTTCTTTGGGATCGCATGTCCCCGAAGGCTTCCAGTGCATTTTCTGAGACTTGCGTCTTGTAGAGACTCAGGGGGAGAAATGCTCGGGAGCACTAGCGCATTAAGGAGGAGGTCTAAGCTTTCTTCACCATAATCACCTGCACTTTTCTTCCCCGTCCTCCGGGGTTAATGGAAATCAAAGTCCAAGCGATTTAAGGCTTTCCTGTCAGAGGTGGAGAAAGTATTCCTTAGCCTAGAAAATAACGGCAGGTCATACAGATTGTATGTTACGCTCAACACCAAACTCCCTCATTTCAATTTGGCAAGTCAAATTTCTTTCTTTTTTTTTTTTTTAAAGATTTGCACCTGGGCTAACAACTGTTGCCAATCTTCCTTTTTTTTCAAAGATTGGCACCTGGGCTAACAACTGTTGCCAATCTTTTTTTTTTTTCTGCTTTATCTCCCCAAACCCACCCCCCCGGCCCCCGTACACAGTTGTATATCTTAGTTGCACGTCCTTCTAGTTGTGGGATGTGGGACGCCGCCTCAACGTGGCCTGACGAGCGGTGCCATGTCCGCGCCCAGGATCTGAACCCTGGGCCACCGCAGTGGAGCTCGCAACCTTAACCACTCGGCCACGGAGACGGCCCCTCAAATTTCTTAGTAATAACAATAGTAGCTCACATTAGTTGAGGCACAGATCTCTGCCCTTACAAGCATCATCTCTTTTGACTTGAATAACCTTGACTCCTACAGGGACTCACGGTTCCAGCCCTGTCTTCGACTGGGTAGGCTGGTTTGCCTAATTCTGGAGTTCAGTATCAAGAAGCCTGCATATGTAAGCCGCATTCTCCAATATCAGATTCTCAGTAAATAAAGGTGATATTTTGGTTTCCAGACTGCCCTGCTCTTTTGTCTTACATCTCAATTGGCTCAATGCTCATTCAAGGAAGAGAAGTGCCGCTTGTTGGGCTCGCCCAGACCCTAAGAGGAGCTTGTTTCATCCAGCTGCATTCTGCACCCACACACACAGCGCTGTGGGTTTGTTGCATCCTTTCCTCCAGCACAGAAAATACTGTTTGTACCTTTATGACCCCCCTGAGAATAGAGGCTGGATGGGCGTTGAGCTCCCTTATAAAAGGGAAAGTGAAGCCACCAGCAGTCAGCGTTCACGATGGAACTTAAGTCCAGACCCTGTCTTTAGGAAGAAGCAGAGCTCAGAACCCACCAAGTCCATAGTTCCGGCGGACAGAAGCTGGACCTGGGAGCCCATCATCCCCGCTGCAGCTGACTGCATCTGGGAGGATGCCTGACTCACGAGTAGCCGGTCTATAGGTGCATATGAGGCCTGGCACCAAGACTTTGCCACAGGTGCAATGTCGGTATGAAAGATAAGGACAGTAACTACTGTTTATTAACCATTTTCTCTATACCAAGCAATATGCTAAGTGCTTAACACTATTATCTTATTTAGCCCCACGCTGCATCAAATTCCTATTATTACCCTCATTTTAAGATGTGAATCTAGATCACACAGAGATGGAGAAAACTTGGCCAAGAGACAGGGAGGCGGGAGAGAGAGAGAGAAAAAAAAAGAGAAAATCCCAAAGTAAAACACGGCATTGCGGTTATTAGCACGAGCTCAGGAACTGAAACGCCTGGATTGGAATGCGTTACAATTGGCACTGTCCTTTTTCGCATCCTTAAACTGGGCCAATAGTGGCACCTGCATCAGAGGATTGCTATGAAGTTTAGAGTGTTAATGCTTATAGAGAGCTTAGAAGAGTGCCTGACACCTAATATGTTCAATAAATATTACTGATTAAGACCATTCCTTTTTCTTACCCACAAATAACTTTATGATATCATGTGATGGCAAAGTTGTCAAATGAAAAAAATTTTTTCCTAGGACAGCTATTATTATTATTATTTTAAAAATATCTCCTAGACACACGGAGAAGGACTTTTCTTTCCATGAGGAGGGGCTCCGCATGTATAACACTCCTGGTTCCTCTCTGCCTGCTCACTTACTCTTCCTGATTTGTTCATTTGATCAATATTTGTTGAACACCTTATATATGCCAGGTAATTTTTCTAAGCACTGGGAATACAGCAAACAAACAGAAAAAATTCTTGCCCTCCTGGAGCCTATGTTCAAATGAATGATACCATATTTCCTGCATGGTCTGATCTCATTCAGTTTTTGTTTTCTGTTTTTTGAGGGTTTTTTTTTTTGGTTTTGGTGAGGAAGATTGGCCCTCAGCTTACATTTATTGCCAATCTTCCTCTTTTTTTTTCTTTTCTCCCCAAAGCCCCAGTACATAGTTGTATATCCTAATTGTAGATCATTCTAGTTCTTCTATATGGGATGCTGCCACAGCATGACTTGATGAGCAGTGTGTGGGACCATGCCCAGGATCTGAATCAGCAAACCCTGGGCCACCAAAGTGGAGCTCATGA